TCTGGGGACCACTTGTGATGTGCCACCCAAGGATTGTCGTGGGGTGCCCATTGTCTCAGCCGCACCCCACATTGGAAACAGCACACACCATCGGCACCCTGAGTGTAGACAAAGCCCGCGTTGGCCATTTCTTCAGCAGTCTGATACATTTGCGTTGGCCACGCCTCAAACGAAGCGAGCCTTCTTTCAAAGCGTAGATAATAGTGCGATGGCGTTTGACTGAGCAGTGACACTGCATCCTCGGCACGACTCTTACCCCAACATCCACGAGTATCTGTACTATCCATCACCACATCTTCGCCACGCGTCGCCGTACCACTCTTCTTTGTTTCAGCCATTCTTGATTTTATCACATCAATTTTACAAGTGACACTGACCCACTCGAATCCACTCTTGTTTTATAGGAGAAGAACCGGATCGAAAATGGCTGCTTCCTGGTTGGTCCAAAACGCAACGCACGGATTGGTTCGTTCCGGGGCCTGGTCCGCACCTCGGTTTTCTTAAACGACCCGACCCCTGTGTTTCTTTTCCATAGGAAATGGATTTTACCATGGGAGAGAAAGCACAACTCGACTCCTGTTTTGGAGAAGGGTTGTCCATCCATCAGACGTTCAGTCCCTCTTAGAGTACAGACGTTCATCAGATACGCATCGCTATCATGACGAGCAACCAAAGTACGCCCTATCGTTTGGAGAAGCAAGACATCACCCGCTCCAGACGGTTAAGAACCGCTAACCATACCTATCGTTTGACTTTCAACCCAGACTACTTGGACACCGTACCACCGGAACGCGTTCCCATGGAACTGCCAGTTTTATTTGACAGGGTCATCGATGACTTTTATGAACAGATGTCAGGCCAGAAGGGAGATCGTATTGGTCTAGGTATCGATCATCCCGCTTTGAACACCCCCATACGGATCCCCTTTCGTCGCTTTGAAGATCTCCATGGGCTCGATATTTTGCATGCCGTCGAAAAAGTCCAACAGTCCAACAAAGACCTAAACATCGATGCCACCATGGTTGTGACTTTAGTACACGTCGCAGATCCCGACAGGCTAGGATCGGGCAGTGGTGGTCACCAACTGAAACACGTGATTGGACTCGAAGCCTTTTTAACACGCAAAAAGTGCATTGTACGGATCAACAACCAAGATCAATCCTGTTTGGCACGGGCCCTGGTGGTGGCACAACATTATGCCCAGAAGTCCCACCCTTTGACCCCAGAATGGACCGCCGACCGAATGAGACTGACGAGAACGGATCGCGTCGACGTTCAAGGTATACGGGCACGGGACTTGTTTCGACGCCTTGGCCTGTCTGAAGGCCCCTGTCAAGGTCTGGACGACCTCGCACGCATGGGACGCGCCTTGGTCCCCCTGAATTATCAACTGAAAGTCAAGAAGTGGACCAGAGACTGTTGTACAAGTGTGATGAGGCTCCACCCCACGCCACCGTGCTGCATGTCTATCATCATGATCAGCACTACGATGTCATCACTTCCATGCCCGCTTTTTTTGGCTCTAACCATTACTGCGAACGCTGCGACCAACGTTACGATCATCCCGAAACCCATCCCTGCACCAAGGAATACCGCTGTCACCGCTGCCTCCACTCTAGCTATTGCAAGCCCCAGGAAGAGCACGGGATCCCTTGCTTGACATGTCAACGTTGGTTCTCCAATCAATCGTGTTACACTCAACATCTCCAGTCACCGTCAGAGGGAAAACCCAGCGCCTGTCAATCGATTCACAGGTGCCCAACCTGTTTTCATCTGGTCCGCGTCTTGGAGACCCCCATGGTTCACCACGAGTGCTTCGACGAAGAACATCCCTGCTTGGTGTGCCGAGAACCCATGACCCCAGACCATCGCTGTTACATGACGCCTCTCCGTGAAGAAAACGACGAGGAGGAGGAGGAGGAGGGGGAGGAGGGGAAGGGAGAGGAAGCAGAGGAGGAGGGGGGGGGGGAAGAGGAACAACATCACGTACGAGACAATGTCCAATACGCCTTCTACGATTTTGAATGCATGCAAGACACGGGGGAACACATTCCAAATTTGTGCGTGGTGCAACTGGGATGTGGACGGTGCATCAGTGAAGTGAGCAAGGACTTGTGCGAACACTGTCCATGGAGAGAAGAAGGATATGGTCCCAGCCGTGAGATCGTGTTTCGAGGCCCCACCACGCGACATGATGTGTGTGTGTGGTTGACCACGTTGGCTGAAAAACCCAAGGAGAAGCCCCACCAAGAGGAAGAGGAGGGTAGCACACGCAAGGGGACAACAGACCGCCTGGGGAAAAAAAGAAAACGGGATGACAAGAAAGTACGCTTCCAAACGTCAACGACATGCATCACCCCAGCAGGAGGCGGAGGAGGGGGAGGGGGAGGGGGAAGAGGTCATGGAAGTGGAGAAAACAAAGAAGCCAAAGAACAAGAACACCACATGCCATACAGTCCCGAAGGAGGATCGCATTTATGTGATGGCCCATAATGCACGATCCTATGATTTACACTTAATCCTGAAGGGCCTGTCCCCCCTCCTGGTGACACTCCCCACCAAGATCCGACATGGCCAACAAATTTTGCAGATGACCCTGGGACGGTTGTGTTTCGAAGACAGCTTAAATTTCATCCCTTACCCCCTGAAAGCCTTTCCCAAGAGCTTTGGGCTGAAAGAAATGAAGAAAGGGTACTTTCCACACTTTTTCAATACGGGAGTCAACCAGACCTACAGAGGTCCCTATCCACCAGCCGTCACGTACGATCCCGATGGCATGTCTCCCACAGAACCCACAGTCTTCCTCCAGTGGCATACTCAAAAAGTGCAAGAAGGAGCTTTGTTCGACTTACAAGGAGAACTTTTAGCTTACTGCCAGAGCGATGTAGACATTTTGAGACGGGGATGCGCCGACTTCCGACAGAACGCCATCCACTCGGTTGGCATGGATCCCTTTGTGGAAGTGATGACAGCTGCTGCGTTCACCATGAAATCCTTTCGAAAACACGACCTGAAACCCAATACCATCGCCATTCTACCACCTCAAGGCTACCAACCCAAGAGAAACTATTCCCAGGCCTGTATGCACTGGCTCCACTATCTGATGGAAACGGACCCCCATCTGCACCTCCAGCACGCCAGGAATGGAGGTGAAAAAGAGTTCACGTGTGGAGAGGGCCACCATCGGTACAGCGTGGATGGCTACGATCCAGCGACAGGCACCGTCTACGAATTCCTGGGGTGTTTCTGGCATGGGTGCCAGGCCTGTCACAAGACCCGACGTGGAGAACCGCATCCCGTCCTGGGCACGTCGTTGGGAGCCCGTTACACCGACACCCGCTACCGCTTGAGTCTCTTGAGTCAACACCCTGAGGTGAAACGGATCGTCACCCTTTGGGAGCACGAGTTTACGAAAATGCAACGGGAGGACTCCGCTCTGCGTGCTTTCTTGCAGGGGCCCCGCTGTATCCACGTCCCCGGGCCGCTCAACCCTCACGACGCCTGCTATGGAGGACGCACCACTGCGACGCGATTATGCTACGAAGCCCAAGAAGGTGAAACCATCAAGTACATCGATATTTGTTCCCTTTACCCCTACATTTGTAAGACTGGAGCGTTTCCCACGGGGCACCCGGCCCTTCTCCATCAACCCCCTGTGGACACGTTGTTTGAACTTAAAGGCCTGATCCAATGCCGTGTCCTACCCCCGAAACGACTCTACCATCCGCTACTGCCTTACAGATCGGTTGGCAAACTGCTCTGTCCTTTGTGCCGTACGTGTGCCGATGGCCGGTCAGACTCCCCCTGCCAGCACACGGACGAAGAGAGGTCATGGGTGGGGACGTACGCCACCGTAGAACTCCAGGAAGCCGTGAAGAAGTATGACTACCGGGTGCTTCAGATCTACGACGTTTGGCATTTTGACACCTTTGCACAGCATGACCCCGACACCCAGCAAGTGGGACTCTTTGACACTTACATCGATCGGCATTTCAAGGAGAAGCTCGAAGCCAGCGGATACCCCGAAGGATGTACGGATCACGACACTTACATCCAGGAAATCTACGACAAAGAAGGCATTGTGTTGGACAAGGATCGCATCGAAAAAAATCCAGGACTTCGCACGATTGCCAAGATGCAACTGAATTCGCTCTGGGGCAAGTTTGGACAACGGGTAGACTACAGTCAGAACCTCTATATCAGCGATCCTGTACAGTACTTTGCCTTGTGGAGGGATGAACGCAATACCATCGAGGATGTGACCGTTGTCAACGAACACATGGTGGAAGTGACCTATACCCATCGGAAAGAATACCAAACCCCTCATTCTCATTTCAACGTCGCCATCGCCGCTTGGGTCACCGCCCAAGCACGTCTCAAGCTGTACGAGACCCTTGCCCTGGTGGGCCGCAGGGTCTTCTATTTTGACACGGACAGCGTCATTTACATTCATCGACCCCACGACGCGAATCCAGAGCTGGGCCATTCGTTGGGTGAGTTTACGGATGAACTGGACGGAAACACCATCAAGACGTTTGTGTCGGGAGGCCCCAAAAACTATGGCTACGAGTTAATGAACCCCAGACCCGATGGAACGCGCACGACCTGCAAAGTGCGAGGGTTCACTTTGAATTACCGAAACCAACACCTGGGAAAGAGGGGGAGAAAATCAGTTTGGATTACCCTCATCAGATCATTCGAAAAGGACCTCGGCACGAAAAAGCACTTGTGACCCAACCCTCCCGAAAAGACTATCGTACCGTGTACGACAAACGACGTCTCGTCTACGACGAAACCACAGGGCTGCCTGTAGACACGCTTCCCTTTGTGTACAGAGACGACTTTCTATAAAAAAAATTCATGACAGCGGATCGAAACTGAATCGACATTGACCCCTACAGAAAAAAAACGGATCGAAATCGGACCAATCCGAAGCCTGGGTTGTCGACCAATCAGAGGCCGCGCTCGGGCCATGGTGGGCTCTGATTGGTCGAACCGAGGTTGTGCTTTCTCTCTCACGCTACAAGCCTAACCCTATGGAAAAGAAACACAAGGGTCGGTCCAGTTTGGAAAAAAATTGAGACTCAGACCAGACACTGGAACGGACCAATCAGAAAGCAGGACCTCCGTGGCTTTTAATACGACCGACGCTCTCCGGTCATCACTTTTCACTGAACGGACCGAGCAACAACATCGTCCCTCTGATTGATGTTCCTCACGTTGTGTTGGTTGTTGGCGTTTTATCTGGAAGAAACACGTGTTTGGAGAGAGTACCATCAAGTGTTGACGCACCTCCATGAAGACTTGGAAAGAAACAACAACAACAACGAACAGAACATCCGGACAACATCATGTCGAACAACATGTCGAAACGCTTGAATGACAAGACACGAAGCGACATGAGTGGCCAAGGAAGCAGTGGAGATGGGAGCGGTGAAATGACTGCTGAACTGTGGGGTGAAGTGTACGACTTGCTGTGTTTAAAGATGAAGACCGACGACGCGTACGCCAAGTTACGTACGAAGGGCGACGACATGATGTGCGAACAGATACGTTCAAAGATGAGGAAGCTGACTGAACCCCAGAAAGGAACATCGAAGAAGACGTTAAAGAAGATCCAGAAGAAAAAGACGAGCAAACCCACAGCAGTTGTTGTCCCCACAGCAGCAGCAACAACACCCACCACCACCACCACCAAAGCGCCAGTCACCACCACCACCACCACAGCAGCCACAGCAACATTGCAGCAGCGACAACAGACACCGAAACGATGGGGACATCCTTTTTGAAACCTGCAACACCTGCAACTTCTGCAAAAAGACGATCACGGAAGAAATTATCTCTGAAGATCTCTCCTCAAGAACAGCTGTAAGTACCCTGCTCTTCTTTTGTCTCAGTCATTCTTGATGTGATGTTGATGTTGATGTTGATGATGATGATGGCGATGTTGATGATGACTATACCTATGCATATGATGAATGGACTCTGTCCTATGATTGACAGGACCCCTGATGTCAGTTCAGCCCAGACCATGCTAGAACAGTGGTGGGAACAAACACCTCGGGAGCCCACCTATTCACCGAATGCCCCTGTGACGATGGCGACGGGTGACCTCGATGATCATGAAGCGCTCAAGCTGGCCACTCTCCCTTCCATGGATCTGGACACGCTCCCCCTGCTTGAGGCTTCTTGGTCACCAGCATCACCGGAAGATGTTCATGTCTACTCCTCAGGTATGCCCATGGTTTGCGACGATGATGATGATGATGACAACCTTGACCTGGATCCTTATGGAGAAGCTCAACTCACTCCCCTACAACGCGAATTTCGTGTTTGCCGACACAACAACATGTTAAGATACATCAGTTGCAACAGCGGGCAAGTGATGTGTCATGCCTGTGGTCTGGAGCTCATAGACTGTACTTGTATGTTGACCTATGACAGCATAGTGACACATGACATGCCTATCGCATCTGAGGATCACATCTTATGGTGATCCTCCTCTTCACTCGAAGAACTTTACAACACGTAAGCTGCAACCGTGATCAAGTGATGTGTCATGTCTGTTTCATGGAGGCCATAGACTGTACGTGTTGAACGGATGGACCTCTCACATGTTTGAGGGAGGACCACCTCTTATGGGATTGAAGATAGAAGAGCTTGAAGATGAAAGAGGAAAACGTTGTCGCGTTTTTGTTGTTGTTGTTGTTGTAGGGACATGCAAAGCACTCCCTCCTCCATTGACTTTTCGTATTTCCATTGTATCTGGTTGTGATTGTTTTTTCCATTATTAAACAGTGATTGATTGAACTGACTCTTTGTGTCTTGATTGATCTCAACTCCAATAGAGTGCCGAACCGAGGGTAGAGGTTGAGTTGAGATGTCGTTTACGTCGTCTGTCCGTCTGTCTGTCTGTCTGTCTGTGCGTCTGTCATGTCAGTGCACACCAAAGTGTAAAATTAAAATAAAAATAGATAAAAGAGAAAGGCTATGCTTGAAAGATCAGCTGCCTGGTGTCAGTCATTCCAGTACGCATCACCACACCCACCGTGTGCCATGTCATGTCATGTATCATGTCATGCATCATGCCGTGTGTCCGTCAACCCAAACACAGGATGACGTCACGTAATGAGGTGGAGGAGGTGGAAGCTAAGGTCATGACCTTCCGTTGAAGGGAGTAGGGTGGAGAGTTTCATAAAAGCAGGCGAACCCTCAGACCTTCAGTGAAGTCACAGTCATCATGGAGCAAAGACGTTCTAAGAATGCCATGTCATCATCCCGAGATGTCGTCACCGATTCTGAGTGGGTGTCTGATAAGGCGGGAGAACAAGAAACGAGAAAACGTCCACTCTTTATGGACGACACACTCTTGATGGACGACACATGGCGACTCAGTGACATTCTGGAGAGACCTTTTCCTTCTTACACCTTGTGTCATCCTTCTCATCCCAACTATGATTCATTTCAAGAACGTCTGAGGTCTTTTCAAACGTGGCCTAAAACAGATGACCCAGACCCCTTATGACATGGCCATGGCTGGCTATTTCTATCCAGGACGAGGTGACCGTGTTATCTGTTATTGCTGCGGTGTGACACTCCGCCAATGGGAAGCCACGGACCAACCCTGGAAAGAACATCTGAAGCACGCCAAAGTCCCCTGCGAATACTTGTGCGTGTTTTGTCCTGATGGAGAAGTGAACGAAAAATACAGAGGTTTGGTGTCCCAAGAAGCAGGGAAGAGAAGAGTCGAGTGTCTTGTACACCCCAAGTGACAAAGTGTCCCCCCTCATCCTGTGACTTTTGTTTTGTTGTGTTGGTACATGTGATCAGGGGGATTAAAAAAAAAGTTGAACTCATAGTCGTGTTATGTTGTCTGTAGGATGAAGAAAAAACAAAACAGGATCGAAATGCACACCCCGATAAAAACCGGATCGAAATCGGACCAATCGGAAGCCTGGGTTGTCGACCAATCAGAGACCGCGCTCGGACCAGGCGGGTCTCTGATTGGGCGAACCGGGGTTGTGCTTTCTCTCCCATGGTAAAATCCATTTCCTATGGAAAAAAAACACAGGGGTCGGTCCGTTTTGGAAAACCGAGGTGCAGGCCAGGCCCCGGAACGAATCAATCGGAGCTGCGGCCTGGCGAACCAACCAGGAAGCAGGGTATCAGTGCCTCTCCTATAAAAACAAAACAAGAGCGAAGCCACTCACACACACTGCATTCTATGAAACCCATCATGTCAGCTCGATACAGTTGTATGAAGTGTCAGACCGACAGTCACAGTTACCTGTACTGCCCTGAAGTGACATGCCTCCAGTGTCACGATCAAGGTCACCGTCACTATGTCTGTCCGAAGATGAGCAGTCAAGAGAAGCAGGAGAATCGGAACCCGTGCCCCTGTTGCAACTGTGGAGCCCTGGGTCATTTCGCTGCAGGTTGCCCAGAACCCAGTCCAAAGAACACTCCTCATCGCCTGGACCGCTGTTACAACTGTCGAGCCCTGGGTCATTTCACTGCAGATTGCCCAGAACCCAGTCGAAAGAAAATGTTAGCAACACCGTCCACGTCGACACCCGTGGCACCCGTGACACCCGTGGCACAAGTGCTTCATCTCATCGAAGACATGCATGCCGATGTCCTCGACCTAAAAGAATGCCTCACACAACTCCGTGTAGGCATCACACCTCGTCTAGAGAAAAGAAAACGGAACAGAAGCCCCTCAAGAAAACACCCTTCAAAGCGCAGACGACACCTTCAGTCCGAGGATGAGATGGAAGTAGAGGATGAATAAGATAGATCATCTGAACAAAGTGACTAACGCATGGGCCATGCTGCCCCACTGTTTTTACCAGTTTCCCATCGTTTGCAGTTTTTCCAGTGTTCCAGTGTTCCAGTGTTCCTGCCGTTTCCTGTCGTTTCCCGTTTCCAGTTTGTTTTCCAACGGCCCTTTTCAGGGCCACCCATCTCTCCCGAAAGACAGCTTTTCCTCCTTTGCTTTGACGACCCTCCAACCCCCCACACACCGTGAACCCACCCCCGCCTCCTCCCGCCTCCTCCCTCCAACCCTTCACCGCCACCTCCCTCCCTTCACCCCCACCGCCTTTTCTATTTCTATTTTTAGAACGACAAAAGAACAAAAACCATGTCGATCTTGTTCACCTTGTACGTGCGCTTCTCCGGGTTTTCCCCCTCCTCCCCGGAAACGGATGCGACGCCATCTTGAAGGCGCACGCTACCGGACACGGATGCGACGCCATCTTGAAGGCGCGCCACCGGACACGGATGCGACGCCATCTTTGATGCGCGCGCCACCGGAAACGGGTGTGCCGCCATCTTGGATGCGCACGCAAGTCACATGCGCAGGTCACGTGACCGGATGTGACGTCACAGAGGTCACGTGATCCTCTCGACCAATCAGAAGCCAGGAGCGGTTCTAGGGTAATGCGTACGACTACTTCTTTGTTTCTGTTGTTTGTCAGCACAGATGGAGGCCTGGAACACTCTGTTACTAACATGTTGTTACTGGCTGTGCTGCATATAGAAAATCGTGGTGGTACTGACATTTATATTAGACCATGTCGTTTTTCTCACTCACTCATTCCAGTGACATTATGAGCGATAATTAAATTCACAATATGTCAGACTGTAGGGGTGCCCGTTTAAATGACTTTTTTTGTGTCATACAATTCTGTTTATAATCCTGATTAAATTTGCCCCGACCAGCACAAAATGAGTGGCTCCAAACCGTTTTACTATAATTTAGAATTGATACTTTAAAATGATCTCCCATCATAGTTTTTTATCATACTTTTATGAACACTTCGCCAAGGGGCATATATCATGCACATAGTTGTTCCATCGTCTTCGACTATTTGCTATGCCTTTAAGATAAGGTAACAGAAGATGTGGGCAACGCCACTTCTGACGCAAGGAGCAAATTGGCTGTTTCCGTAATCTCTGATATAGATTACTTTCACTGAATCAGCACAAAATTAAAGTACAAAACTTAGGAAAATTTGTTTAGGGAGTTGGGGACAATTAGTGTGAAAAAGCTTCAATAAACGCAACCAACCAAAAATAGTATTGTCGATGGTGTCACATGGTTTTGCTCAAAATAACGAATATTCGGGAGTAAATGCTTCACATGTTCTCTCTATAAAAGGCCAGACATCCGATCCCATATCCTAGCTACTCTGAGCAATCTTCCGAAGTGCGGAGCAGAAAAACACCACTTTAGATCGCCTTGATGATATCTTACCCTGTCACGCATAAGTGAAAATATACAGATTTCGTGCCATAGGAATTCTTGAATATGTACCCAAACGAGACGTCGTATGTCTATTCAACGTTCACAGGTACACCATATGGCACTTATGATACGTTATAAATAGAACAAACACATCATAGATCGACCACTTGGTAGCTGCCCACCCGTGATACCTCCCCGGCAAGTCACTTGGATTCTAACCACGCATCTCCGACACAGGTTCCAGACTCGTACAGCCCGTACTATCCCTGGTGACAAACGTCCATCTGCCAGGACGGTTCGACGGCGTCTACGCATCTACAGGATCCGTGTTGCGGGGAACAACACGTTAGCGGAAAATGGCCCTCTTCACTGATGAGTCACGTTTCCATCCTAATGTTAATGTGTTATCCACGTGCCTCCAACACATCCTGATCTGTCTCCAAACTGAGTACCCGTGAAGATTCGGGGTACAATAGGTCTTCAGCAACCCATGCTTGCCGTAAAAGGCAACTATGCTTGTTGTAAGAGGCAACTAACGCGATCGGGTCGTCAGGCTCGCTGACTTGGTTGATGCATGTCATCCCAATGACGCGGATCGATGCTCATGATGTCCATCACTGGATTGTCTGGTCCAGACTCGATTATTTACAGACCGCCGTCATATAGCTGGAATATTGTTGAGTGCGGAAACAAAAACTAATCTGAGATGAAACGCAACGTCATTTTCGAACTCTTCAAATTACTCAAACAGCGTTGCAGGAACTTGCTTATCCTTTCACTGCTATGGAATCCCAGGCCTTTCTTCAACATTTATTGGCCTCAGCAAGGCGAAGATGTCAGGCCTGCATCAATGCATAAAATGGACACACTCGCTACTGTCCCTGTGAAATTGCCTACAAACCCCTTCGTGTTACCTGCTCATTTTTTAAAAAGAGCTCGTTATATAGACTGTTGCTCGTTATATAGATTGTTGCTCGTTATATAGATTGTTGCTCGTTATATAGACTGTTGCTCGTTATATAGACTGTTGCTCGTTATATAGATTGTTGCTCGTTATATAGACTGTTGCTCGTTATATAGATTGTTGCTCGTTATATAGATTGTTGCTCGTTATATAGACTGTCGCTCGTTATATAGACTGTCGCTCGTTATATAGACTGTTTTGTTTTGTTTTGTGTATGTCACAATACCTTTGCCTTTGCGAATGTTTTGTAAAGGTCCATCTTACATGGGAGGCAACAGTTTCGGTTATGACAGACAAGGCCTCTTGGTAGATAGGGTTACAATTTTCCAGTATCAACAATAACTTTCAATCCTTGTTGGCACAAAAAGTGTTTTCAACACCCCGGTATATCCTTTTGTCTTGGTCTCAATGAAAACCAATACGTTATCTTGTATACACAATAAGTACATTTTGTAGCTATACCATGATATCATGAATTAGTGACACCCAATTGAAAATCAGTAATGTGTATTTTCTGCAAGAACCAAAGATTGTGTGAATAGGTCTGTCATGCATATGCAGGTAGTTTAAAGATCCGTC